ATGAGGCGGACTCGGACCTGCTCTGTCCTCACAGTGGGGAGGGATTTACCACCCTGGTCTCCACCTAGAGGTTTAGGGATGCCGGGCTCAGGGACATGAGAAGTACTGAAATCCTGGCTGCCAGTGAAGACCGAGGCAAAGAAGTCACATTACAGAAAGAGTCACATTACAGGAATTCACTGCTGATTTACAACCACTGCATTTCAGCTGTAGGGAAGATGGAAGCCATCTTTTACTTTCTGCTTTCAGTTTTGTAATTCAGATAGTGTCATTTGTCACTAAGTGTACCACTGGTCCTCCTGTGAACCACCTGATAATACTGGTTCCTTGTTTTGCAAGAACAGAAACAACTACCTAAAGCATAAGCACAAGTTATTGCCAGCCATTAAAATTTGGTAGGTCTCATTTTTAGAAACTTTGGTTTACTTAGCTTGTCTGTCTGTTGTTCAGCATCTAGATTAAGCTGATCACTGATTCTTTCTGTAAAACAGTGGTGGAATGACTGAGTTCAGAAGATGGAGGAAATTCTGTAGATGGTCTTTATTACTGCAGCACTCAGTGACATGACTTCCAGGTATCCTTTAGGCAGCAACCAAGGGGCCCAGTAGTAGGCATTAAACTCATCCCAGGAAGCCAGACTTGCTCTGCAGAGATGCAGAGTGCTCAGTGCAGAAGGCTAAACACACACAGATGCTGGTTAGCACTGAGGCTGTTTGCTCAGAACACCTTGCTTTTACCCCAGGGAGAAACCACATCCCAGGGACAGCATCTATAGATAAAGTAAAAGAAAAAGAAGTAACAAATCAGAATGCTGAAGCTACTGCTGAAATGGAATCTGCTCACATTGGAATCCAGAATGACAGAAATGAGCACCTCCAGCTTAAATTATTTTAAAATGCCAAGCTGAAGACCAGGTTAGAAAGAATATCCCACTCCTATTCTAGACACCCCAGCATTTTTCTATAGCACTGGAAGTTTCAAGAGATTCCTCACTCATCAGTTCCACAAGTAATTTCAATAACTAACAGTCGTGCTTAGAAACAAAGGAGAGTCTCAGCCAGAATTCTGCAGGAAGAGGATGGCTATCACCACAAGTTCAGTGCCTCCATCACTAAGATCCTTCAGTTCTATTTGCTCTCCATGAAGACACTCACACGGTCCAAGCAAGGAACATACAGATCGTTCCTAATGACCCAAACAAACTGGGTTGTCTTTGCTTGTTCTAGACAATCTTTTTCCAGCCATGGGAGAGACAAGAAAATGGAATAAAACAAAACAGAATTCTTGGAAACAGCTGAACCTAAAATTGGATGATGGCAAACAGTGTTTTTTGGTTCACTGGGCCTCAGGGATCTTAGCATCTCCATGGGCATGGGCCCTTTGCACTTGACAGCACTCACTGCAAAACTCACCACTACTCCTGGCCATTCAGGATAGTGCTTTTACAAACATGCCCTTTATGAAAGCTCCAGCATGCCCAAAGCTTTGCAATTTGCAGTCCAAGAATAGCATCAGACCTGCTCCATGGGCTCACAGAGGAAGCTTGTTGATGGTTTGCAGACATATTACAAGGAAATTGCAACTTCATTTTCCCTCCTGATGTGCTATGTACTTGGAAAATAACAGCAAGCCAACTTTCTTGCAACATTTTTACACTCAGCTTGTACATAAAAGGGGTTAGCAGCATCTCATTAGTGGGGTACAAGAGGTTGCGTAGATATGCTGAAAAATTCTGGAGTGCATATAGAGTGAGTTCACCTTCTGAAACACGTGCTTCCTCTTGCTTTCATCTTAACTGCTGAGCTGTGCAGCCACAGCAGCATTCTACTTCAGGTCTCATAAGGAGACAAAACAGAGAGAAGCACTGCAGGAGGCAGTGTCTTGGCGTTGGCCTTTGGCCATCAGGTGTGATCACACTGAGTCACCACGGCAGGGCCTGCAGCAGCCTGTGTTGCTCAGCAGCACTGGGCTGTGTGGTTGGCAGGGCCACAGACACTTCTCCACAGGGAAATGGAAAAAGAATACCAGATTATTTTGCACCAGACACTCAATTTGTATATTATAAATGACTTGTAATTAAAAATAGCAGGTGTTATCAGCCAGCAGACATTTCTCATCCGCTGCAGGGCCTCAACAATTATCACTGATTTGGATGTTTCAAAGGCCTTCACAGTGGTCTTTGCATTCCTTTTGTACCACTTTGCTCTCCAGCTCCATGGTTACATTGGAATACCTGACAGCCTGAGAAATATTGACTTTACATTCACAACAGCTCCAAGGAAAACATTTTTATTTGACTTTGGAGCCTGGCATCCTTTCAATGCCCTTGTTTACTCCAAAATGCTGTGCCTGCAGGAAGCCCAGCAGCCAGGCTGCAGTGGGGCTATGGAACAGCACCCAGGTATGGCCCCGTCACACAGGGATGGGTACTGAGCCATCAGCAGCTTGAGGGGATGTGAGGCTAAGGGCCCTGCGCTGTCTCTGGTCTCTGTGTACAGCCTGTCCTTCAGGTTGAATGGGCACCAGCAGCTGAGTCTTAACTGCATCCTCCTGTGGGTGGAATTCTGATGAAAGCAGGACGGTATCCAAAGGGAGGTGGGAGGCAAATGGACGAGGCCAGGCTCTTCCAGGTGGAGTGCAGCGATAGGACCAGGAGCAATGGCCTACAACTGGAACGTAGGAAGTTCTGTGCTAACGTGCAGAAGTTCTTCACAGTAAATGTGACGGAGCACTGGCACAGGCTGCCCAGAGAGGTGGAGGAGTCTCCTTCTATTGGAGATATTCAAGATCCACCTGGATGTCCACCTGTGTGACCTACCGTAAGGTACTGCTTTAACAGGGGGGTTGGACTCAATGATCTGCTGAGGTCCCTTCCAACCCCTGCAATTCTGTGATCTGTGATTCTTCACAACGATAAAAGGTGCACTGAAATACCAAGACTGATTAAAGAAGTGAGCCAGCCAAACGAAGCTCTGTCAAATGGATAACTGAGAAACGAATGGAAAAATACAGAAAAAGTGTTTCTCTTTCAATATTCAACTTAATATTGCTTAAGTTGCTTAACATAATGAAAATGCCCTTTTGGGGGGGGTTGGAGTTCCATGATCCTTGAGGTCTCTTCCAACCCAAGCCATTCTATGATTCTGTCAATGCCTGAACTATTCGAGTGCAACACATTGTCTCCACCTGAACAAAAGGAGTTGCTTTCCCCTCACATCACTACCAACAGGAGTGCAGATGCCCACCTGGAAGCTAGGCGTGCTTCCAAATCTCACCTCCGTCGTTCCTTAAACTCCTCTGACACAAACAAGTGCATCTCATGGCTCTTCTGCTCAGCTCTACTGCAGCAGCAAATTAAGAGGGCATTGGGCAGGATTTCACACAGGCTGCTGCTCAGAGCTACAGCCTACGCAGATGAACGTGGGGTGAAATACAGTACAGAGAGGGATTAAGGTGATGAAACCTCTTGGCAGTGCCCAGTTTTACTTCTCTTAATGTAAGTATACACAGAAATCCATGCCTTGTAGGCATACACTGCCAATGGAACCAGACCTGTCCTAAGGAAGCAATGAGGAAAGAGGTGCCCCAGAACCACAGAGATGTGGCACTGCGGGACACTGTCAGTAGGTATGGGGGGTGGGGTTGGGCCTGGGGATCACAGAGGTCTTTTCCAAGCAGAAAGGCTCCATGCCATGTGGTAACTGCTGCCAGCACAGCTCAGAAGCACAGAGATGGTACAGTGAGCTGCCTTTGGGAAGCGTCAAACTGCACACAGTGAATACTGCAAACAGGTCCGAGAGCAGACAGGTAAGGGCAAAGGAGATCCTTTCACCTCAGAGGGCCCACTGGTTCAGGAAGCCCATTGCCAAAGCAGGTAAGTAAGTTACCTTCGATGCCTAAAATCCTTGCATCTCGGAATAAATTTGTAACAAGACCTCAGTCCTCATTATACAAAACTAAATATAATTGGATTAAAAGCTACACTTTACCTTTTCCTATGACCTTTAATTCACTCACAATAAGTGCTTTGAAGCAAACACAGTAAAGTCACTGCCAGAGGACCTTCCCCTCACACACACAGCCACGCGGGTACCAGCAGAGCTGGAGCAGCACGTACAGCACCCGGCTGGGCCTGTCTGACCCTCATGTCTGCCGTGGGGCTGTCTGTTTTGGATGAAATTGAAAATGGAGTTGTGATTTCAGCCCTGTTCTGTTAAAGGACTCGTTTTCCTTCTTGCACAGAGGTGATTTCATTGTTATTCAGTGCCAGTAACAAGACAGGTTTTGCAGAACTGCTGATCCCTTCTAGCAGACAGGCAGAGCTCACCCTGCTCCCAGCACAGAAATCACAGAACCACAGAATCACCGAGGTTGGAAAAGACCCACAGGATCACCCAGTCCGACCATCCTCCCATCACCAGCAGCTCTCACTAATCCATGTCCCTCAACACAACGTCCAACCGTTCCTTGAACACCTCCAGGCTCGGTGACTCCACACCTCCCTGTGCAGCCCATTCCAGTGCCTGCCCACCCTTTCAAAGAAGCAGCATTTCCTAACATCCAGCCTGAATCTCCCCTGGTGCAGCTTGGAGCCATTCCCTCCAGTCCTATCACTGGTACACGAGAGAAGAGGCCAAACCCCCCTCATCACAACCTCCCTTCAGGAAGTTGTAGAGCGCAATGAGGTCTGCCCTGAGCCTCCCCTTCTCCACACTGAACAACCCCAGCTCCCTCAGCCGCTCCCCACCAGCCCTGCGCTGCAGACCCTCACCACGTTTCCCGCCCTCCGTTCAACCCGCCCTCAGGCTCTAACGCCCCCCCGACCCTCCTCCCAATCCCCGCTCCCCACCCCGCACCACGCCCACTCAAACCGGAGCCAATCAGAGCCTCCGCCGGCGAGCGGCCCGGCCAATCGCAGCCCGCCGAGGCGGCGGCGGGGCCCGCCCACCACCTCTCGCCGCGGCCGTTGGGGTCGTGCGGCGGCGCTGCCGGGTGCGTGAGGGGAGCGGGAGGGCGCGCGGCCTGCCGCCGTCCTGAGGGCTGCGCGCACCGCTCGGGCCGGGGCTCGTCCGTTTCCTGCGGGTTAGGCGGGCGGCACTGCGGGCCTGGCGCCGGCGGGGGAGGGCCGGGGGGTGAGGGCGAGGCTGTGCCCCGAGCTGTCGGAGGAGCGCGGGACGCCGCCGGGACGCCGCCGGGACGTGGGGCCGGCCGTGCCGTGTGGGGCCGTCCCGCTGCGCTGCCTGTGTGAGGGGAGCGGGCGGGAAAGCAGAAGCTGGGGGGGGGGGGGGGGGGGCGAGCCGGGGCGGGGGCGGGGGGGGGGGGGGGGGGGGGGGGGGGGGGGGGGGGGCGCGGGGGGGGGGGGGGGGGGGGGGGGGGGGGGGGGGGAGAGGGGGGGGGGGGGGGGGGGGGGGGGGCGAGCTGCTGCCTGCAGCCGGGTGGGGAGAAGCGGGGGACGGCAGTGCAGCCGTTCCTCGCGTTCAGCCCGCTTTGAAGGCCGTCTCCGTGCCCGTCTGTTTCGATACCCAGCGGCCGTGCTGTGGAGCTGGCCGTTGGTCGTTGTTGGGTGGTTGTGCAGCAGTCGCTGTGAGGACGATGTAGTGCTGGTTGCGTTACGGCCCTTCTGAATTATGGCTCGTCTTTTTCACCTCCTCAGGTGCGTCGGATTAATTGCTGGAGGCGTCTTGAGGCTCCGAGGATGAACGTGCTGGTAGTGCTGCTTGTGTCTGCCATAGTCAGCTGCTGCAGTCGGTTGGGCAGCTCAGCCCCCAGGCTGCTCCTGGTGTCCTTTGATGGTTTCAGGGCTGATTACTTGGACACCTATGACCTTCCTCACCTTCGGGAGTTCATTGAGGATGGCGTGCTTGTAAAGCAGGTTACGAATGCTTTCATCACCAAGACTTTCCCAAACCATTACAGCATAGTGACGGGTTTGTATGAGGAAAGCCACGGCATCGTGGCTAACGACATGTATGATTCAGATGCCAAGAAAAAGTTCTCGCAGTTCAATGATTCGGATCCCTTCTGGTGGAACGAAGCGGTCCCAATCTGGGTGACAAATCAACAGCAGAGAAATGGGACGAGTGCTGCTGCCATGTGGCCCGGTACTGATGTGAGGATTAACAACACGACCCCTCACTTCTTCATGAAGTATAACTTTTCAGTGACGTTTGAGGAGAGAGTGGAGAAAATTGTGAAGTGGTTGAACAGCTCTGATCCTGTTGTCAATTTTGCTACGCTGTACTGGGAAGAACCAGATGTGAGCGGGCACAAGTATGGACCAGATGATACTGAGAACATGCGCCGAGTGTTAGAGCAAGTGGATCAGCACGTTGGTTTCCTTACCAGTAAACTGAAGGCATCGGGTTTGTGGGACAGTATCAATGTCATAATAACAAGTGATCACGGGATGGCACAGTGCTCTCCAAAGAAGCTGATCATCCTGGACAACTGTATTGGTCGTGGTAACTATACTCTGATCGACAGGAGTCCAGTTGCTGCAGTGCTGCCAAAGAACAGTAGGTGGTAGTTTTTGAAGTCTTGTCATGCTGCTGTGGTTCGCTGTCTGTTTAGAAATTACTTTGTTTCGGCAATCAATGGGCTGAGGGGTTTCTTGATAATGGTGGTCATGGTGCAGCTTATAGAGAACAGAGCTAGGCACTTGGTGTGCCTGCTCCCTTGTTGCTCGTGTATTCTGTCCAGTTGAGGCTTGCAAGAAGCATGAAATAAGCCCACAGGGTTATTCAGAACAAAAAATGTTGTTGTCTAAAACCAACCTGGATTGCTGTACAACTTTTATTTTTGTGAATGAAGCTTTAGCTTCTGTATCTGGAGGTAGTCAGTAACAGGTGTGACTCATGATGCAGCTGGTCTCAGCTTCCTCAAAGTGCGGCCAGGCTGAAGCAATTAGAGCAAACAAAACCATTTATAGATCAACAGAAGGTTTTATGCTCACTGCTTTGGATAAAATATTGGCTACTATAGAGGATGATATGCTTTCTCTTGATTTCTCTGCTTGAACTTTGCACCTCACTCCCCCAGAAGCACAGAGTAAGCTGAATTGTAGGTTCTCAGCCCCAGACACAAAACACCTAACTTCATGGGGAGCAAGCTGTGATGTCCACATTGGTGCATGTAGCATTTCATGAGGGATGTGGAACAATCACTGCCTTGTAAAAAGTCATTGTTTGTGGAAAAAAAAATGAACCTCAGGTTTAATGACAGATAATTGCAGTAAAAAAGACCTCATTTCCAGTTGTTTCACATGCATTTTTTCTTGACAGATAAAAAATACGTGTACAACTTACTGAAACAGTGTGATGATCATCACATGAAAGTGTATCTCAAAGAAGAAATCCCAGACAGGTTTCATTATCGCCATAATAAGAGAATTCAGCCCATAATCCTGATTGCAGATGAAGGCTGGACAATTGTGCAGAATGAGGCCCCCTCAAAGCGTAAGTGGGATTTCCCCATCTGAGCTCACCTGACTTAACACTGGTAGAGGGTTTTGCTTTGACCCCAGCAACCCATGGGGTGCTCCTGGTTTAGCAAGTGGAGTCTGTGCTTCTTTAGGAACATCTCAGACAGCATTTCAGAGTGTTCTCAGCTGGAACCTGGGGGCTTCCAACTGCAAAGGAAGAAAGGGTTTATGTTGAATATCAAGAAGAACTTCTTTCTATAAAGAGTTGTTCGGCACTGCCATGGGCTGCCCAGGGAGGTGGTTGAGTCACCATCCCTGGATGTGTTTACAAACATTTGGATGTGGTGCTCAGGGCCGTGATTTAGCAGAGGGCTGTTAGAGTTGAGGTAGGATGGCTGGGTTGTGGTTGGACTCCATGATCTTTAAGGTCTTTTCCAACCTGAGCAGTTCTATGATTCCATGATTCATTCTATTGGCTGAAACACTTGGCCACACTCAACTTAATAGCCTGAGATGCACCTCTAGGTTTCCCTTGCATTTTAATATTTCACCAATGTGTTGTTTAAATGTTTATATATAAAATATACATATGAAGGAGGGGAGAAGAAATTAAAGAGTGGGGGCAGGCCTGGCTGCTGCCAGGACAGAGCACTGTGCAGTGCAGCTCTTGCTGCCTCCCCGCTGCCTGTGCCCATTGTTTGCACAAAGTACTGCTTGTGATGGAGGCATGTTTGTATTCCACTTCTCCCCAGCATCTGCCACTCGTCTTCCCACTGACATTTAAGGTGTTGAAGTGTTTTCCAATAGAGCTCTCTTCTGTTTTCGTGCTCAGATTCAATTTCACATACCTAAAAATAGCTGATAAATATAGAGAGATAAGTAACAGCGCTACATCAGTGCTCACTTCGTTGAAGTGAATCACTTTTCAAAACAGCTATGGCTTCCTAGAAACAGGAAGGGGAGGTATTGGCCTGCCTGGCTGTTTGTTGCCCTTCTGAAGTGACAGCACCAGCTCTGTGCCTAGCACTGTTAGCACACACCTGCACTCCTACTTCCTTAAAGCTCCACTGGAACATCGCTGTTCAAAACAAGTAAATCGCAGAAGGAAAAAGTCTAATCAAGAAATGTAGGAGTGCATTAAAACAAGTTACTGCACTGTATTTTGCTTTTAACTTTGCAGTAACTGATGTAAGGGTGGAAAATGATAAAAGGAGTACTGAATGTATACTGCAGTGGTGAGTGTGATCTAAAGCAATAGGAGTCTGACATTTCAGATGGAAAGCTTTTAATGAAGCACTTAAGGAGATGACCCACAGAACTGTTAGTAAGAAATGAGCCATGAACTGAGATGCAGTCACTCATATCCTGTGCTGAGCGTGCTATGTGAGATTTTTGGTACCTGGAACAGGTTCTGCAGGTGTGTTGTTATTAGGAAATTGGACCATAGCTGTTGATACTTTACCAAAAGTCACAGTGTTTCTTACAAATCTACCAGATGCCCAAGTACCAGCGACCTTGCAGCCACAAGGTTTTGCTAGATGTTTGGATCTTTATCCCCAGGCTGTTTCTTCTTGTGGTATGTAGGGATTTGTTTTGATATGCATTCACCTGGTGTACCTAATCTGATAAGCAGGATCAGATAATATACTTGAACTGAAAGCCATTAATGAGAAGGTGCCTGTCTTTCAGGAAGTGCCTGTTGGCAAAGGGGAGGGTCTTTCCAAAATCTAAGAAATGCAAACTTGTGTTCCAACTTGTGAGTGGTAACACCCTTTTCAGCTTTGGCAGGAATGGGAGGGGGAACAAAGGTTAGTTGGGGTTCCCTGAAGGAACATTGGTATGGGAAAAGCTGAAGGTTGATAATGGGAAAAGACTGCTGGGAGGGGCTGGAAGAGGGAAGCTCTGGGTTTCATCAGTGTGTGATCTGAGTGCTGCCCTTAGAATCACAGAATGGCCTGGGTTGCAAAGGCCCACAGTGCTCCTCCAGTCCCAACCCCCTGCTGTGTGCAGGTCGCCAACCAGCAGCCCAGGCTGCCCAGAGCCACATCCAGCCTGGCCTTGGATGCCTGCAGGGATGGGGCATCCACAGCCTCCTTGGGCAACCTGTTCCAGTGCCTCACCACCCTCTGGGGGAAAAACTTCCTCCTAGTGTCTGCCTCAGCCCTTGGTTAATGTGCCTTGTGCAGTGGGGGATGAAGGGGGAGGGGAATACTCGACATGCAGACAGAAGCTGCAATGTTACCTCTTGAATTTGCATTTCTCCAGTAGGTGACCATGGTTATGACAACACTCTCCCAAGCATGCATCCATTCCTGGCTGCCCATGGGCCTGCTTTTCGTCGGGGTTACCAGCAGAGCATGATAAACAACGTTGATATTTACCCAATGATGTGCCACATCCTGGGACTGACACCGCAGCCGCACAACGGCACTCTCAGCCACACCAAGTGCCTGCTGGTTGACCAGTGGTGCATACACCTCCCAGAGGCTATTGGGATAGTGATTGGGGGGCTGTTGGTATTGACTACCTTCACCTGCATTGTAATAATCATCACAAAGAACAGAGTAGCTTCTCCACGTCCGTTTTCCCGGCTTCAGTTACAATCTGATGATGATGACCCTTTAATTGGATAGCGTGTGCTGAGCTGAGCTTGGCTTGCAAAAGTGATTTCAGCAAGCACGTCTGATCTTGCACTGCAGGGCATTCTTTGATGCACTTTAATGGTATCTGTGTAAAATACTGTACAGCCCAAACCTGCTAACTTCTCTGTGTGTGTGTTATCTGATTTGTAGTCCTATGAAAAGATGTTCAGAAATCCTCAACGGGTTATTTTCTGCTGGAGGAAGTGCTTAAGAAAATAAAGATGTTTAATTTTTCACTGGAGTTGTTGAATGCTTTTAAAATTAAATTCCAGAGCTTCTGCTTCTGAACCTATGAAAGGTGTTCTCAGACTGCTGAATGTGTGCCTACAACAAAAGTGTGTGCTGCCCTACCTACCAGCTTGTGCTGGCCATCAAGCAAAGACTCCAAGCTTTTATTTTAAACTGGCAACTTAAAGGGAAAGGTTAAACTTCAGAGATGAGATGATGATCTTTGTCTGCAGTGTCTGTTTGGCGTAGGTTCAAAGCTGTGGTGAAGACCAGTGCCAGTGGTTTTCTCCTTTTTGACTGTCAGGTCCAGCAAGTTCCCATACACAAAAATGAGTTTGATTTAGAAAGCCCTTGTGGTACCTCCTCTCTTAGTGAAGAAAGAATGTGAGGTTAAACTGTTAATACAAACCTCAAAATAGAACTGTGGACACCAAGTCCTTTTTCTATGTTTGACAGTTTGAAGAACCAATGAAATGAGAGAGCTGAAGTACATGCTAGTATGCAATGTGGTTTCTTGCTAAAACTGACTGAATTTGGTATTAACTGCAGACTGCCTCTTAGCACCTGAGCACATGGACCTTGCAGATTTGAAGTTGTTTGCATACAACAAGAGATCAGGTTGGCATAGAAGTGGCAGGCATGGCGAGACTGAACTGTGCCAGTCCCACTCTCACCAGCTGTTGGTGCAGGTGAGGAAATGAGGCCTTGGCCCATTGCTCCAGGTCACACCTTTGGAAGAGAATTGCTACAGCTCCTCGTAAACCCTTATTTCCTCCTCCCTCTATCACCAAGATTAACTTGCTTTACAGGGAAAGTTCTACTAAGTACTAAACAAGGAACAAAGTATTCTAATTGCATAGCTGATTATTTTCCATTCCAAACAAAGTACAGCATGTAAGAGCATTGGGCATTCTTTCTAGAGCAGCTCCTTGCTGCTGTGCAGCCATGGAAATGGTGAGCATCCCCTTCCACGTGTCCTTCCTGATTAGCCAAAGCTTCCTCCTCATATCCAACCTAAACCTCCCCCGTCTCACTTTAAAACCATTCCCCTTGTCCTATCACTACCCACCTCACAAACAGCCGTCCCCCCTCCTGTTTCTATGCTCCCTTCAAGTACTGAAGGCCACAATGAGGTCTCCCCACAGCCTTCTCCAAGCTAAACAAGCCCAGTTCCCTCAGCCTTTCCTCATAAGAGAGGTGTCCCAATCCCCCCAGGTTCTGTTATCACTCTTCTTTATCCTCTCAGGAAGTGCTCATCAGTGAGCTGCATCTCTTCAGGCCTCATGGATGTGGTCACCAACACACACAATGACCTCACCTCGCTAAGTTTAGCAGTTTAAGAGCAGTTCTCCTTCCCTTAGCAATACAGGGTGTTTCCTATTCCATCAGGAATAGGATCCATCGCATCCACCTCCGTAAATAAAATATACAATTACTTAAGTAACTCCACATATTTGGCTTCATAGTGTTTTGTTGTTGTTTCTTCAGTAGCACTGGTTGAGGTTGGGATAAGAAGTACTGTGCAGGGTCTCTGACTCAGAAGATAAAGCAAAACACTGTGATGATGGAACACTGAGACTGAAAATGACTGGACTCAGTGCACACAGTTTCCCATCCGTTCTCAGCCACTGCTAAGGTTGGCTGAATGTTGTGGCTGTTTGTGATGTAATCTGTCAGGATTACGTCCTTGTTACAGACACTCATGTTGGGGTGAGCACTGGAGCTTCAGACACCTCCTCCAGTCTTCCTTCAAGCAAACAAGCAAAAAAAACCATCAAAAGGTACTATGGATAGCTTTACCAAAATCACCTCTAGTGTAAATACAGCCTTCAGGAGAAAGAGAAGCACAGAATGCATCTCTGCTGAGCACATTGCTAGTTTCTTCCTTCACAGTGCCAAAGGGAGATGGCGCATTGTGTCCTGGCATCTCTGAAAGCCTGAGCGAACACTTTCTGAGTGAGCCTGGCAATTTATCTTGCAGGAAGCAGCAGATATTTCACCTCATTTGAATCCCGATTTTCATCTTCAGGTGGCGAGTTTATCTAACTCAGAACTAGCTGGCTCATTGCTATGCTTCATTTATCATCACAGTGCAGAGTCCTGCTGCCTCGGGCTGAGCAGAAGCAGCTCCTGTTAACCCTTCAGCAGCCGCAGTCAGCCCACACGTCAGGAGGAGCTGTGCTGAGGTTGCAGATGCTGGGCTGGCAGCACGTGGCCGCCATCCACAGGACAGGTGGGGTGGGAGGTGCAGGTGGCACTTCAGACCGTGCCTGGTCACCAACTCTGCATATGCAATCATGAAACAGCACCACTCGCTCCTTTGTACTCTCAGGGTACTCCTTTCCCTTCCCTCATCATCTGCTGTGCGGCGAGCAACAAAACCCAGGGGCTGTACTAAACAAGCAGCTTCCACCCCCAGATTCCCATGTGCTCATCTCTGGCTCTGAGCTTTGCTTTCCAGCATAAGTCTGTGTAACAACAAGCTGGAAAGCCAGCGAGCAGAAAGGAGGAGTCGGGACGTGCAGCCAGGAGCATGAAAACAAGTTAGGAACCTGTATCTTTGAGCATGTTTCTTCCTCCCTAACAGTGAAGCACAGGCACAGCACAGAAATCCTGCAGGAAAACAGAGAATAGCATTATGTTTCTGATCTGAAACTGAGAACTAAAGAGAATCACTGAACTTGGACAGGACAAATGGAATAACTGTTGGAAGAAAGCACGGGGTCGATGTACCTGAGCCCTTTCAGAGCTGAACAAGGCATGAAGCTTAGTGTTTTACAGAGGAGTCCTGGCTGGTGCTGCAGGAGGAAGCAATGTGAGCTGTACTCAAAGCTAATGTGTGCTTACTGTCATGTATAATAGTGATCTGAACTCCAGGAAAACAAGCTCAGAGAATCGGGTTACACATCAGTTCTCCCTCCTGTACCAGAGACGCTGAAGTTTCCTTTTACAGCAGCTCCTTCAGTTGGTAATGAGAGCATCCAGGCCAGCACTGCTGTCTGTGCTCGTGGGAAGGGCTGGCAGAGAGCTGCCCCATCCCTGGAGGTGTTCACGGCCAGGTTGGATGGGGCCCTGGGCTGCTCTGAAATGTGGAGGTTGGTGGCCCTGCATGCCTCAGGGGATGGAGCTTCATGGTCCTTTGGGTCCCTCCCAACCCAAAGCATTCTGTGATTTGTGTGATTACCCAGTAGCCACGCAGTCCCTATGGATTGCAGCTCCCCATCTGGCTTCAGGTTACTGAGTCACAAATCTCATTCTATCTACGGCTCGAGCATGCTGATAGAAGGCAAGATCTGCGACAGTCAGTAGCTACCCATGCAGAACGCTGCTCAGCCCTGGTAACACCTTCAGACCATCCCACTGCCCGTAAGCACTAAAGGACACGGGGCAGTATTGCTCAACAAGACACAGATTTGCTCGCTGTCCATTTTAGCAATGTAACTCAGGCTCCTGACAGAGCCAGCACCCCTGTTAAGGCTGATGGCATCACCGCTGCTATGACAGATTCCATTCAGGAATGAAGTTCGTGCAGTTCTAATGCTCAGTTTCTTCTGAGGATTTCAGTGCTACAGCTCCAGCCTTCTGGCAGAACAGCTGCGTGGGACAGCCGAGGACTTTGCACAGCTCTCTGCTCACACATCCTGATGAAGCCCAGTGAGCCCTTCTGAGGACGACAGTGACATTCTGTGATCAGTGGTGGTTATGACATTTACCACATTGCACAGCTTCGTTTTCTGCTCTGATATCAGGTATCCCACCTTGTGATCCACAGCATGAACTGCCTGTTCCATAAGCAGACTTCTGGGCCCAGGACACGGCCCATCTTACCAGGCTGCTCCCAGCAGATTCATTGTATGCCATATCACATGTAGGAAGGACTTCAGTATTTTCAGATGCTTTCGAGGCCACGCAGCCGCTCTGGTTTTCTGTCCTTCTCTCTGGTTTGTCACCCATGCTGGCATGGCTTCTTCCCAGCACTTGGAATTACAGACCCCCCTTCCCTGAATGGAGCTATGGGTGTTGTTCAAAGCCTCATTCACAACAGGATCACACACCTCATTGGCAACTGTGCCATGGCTTTCTGCACAGAGACCCATTGCACTGCACAGCAATGAGGAAATCCTCTGTTAAGAACACATCAGTGATCTGTTTAACAGCAACACCGCTTTCTGTGGCATAATGAAAATTCAGAGTCAAGACCGCAGTTGTAATCCCATTGAAATCCATCAGAAGAGATCACCAACACCTTGGGGAGGTCCTGCCTGCAGAGAGGAATCACAGAACGGTTTGGGTTGGAAGGGACCTCAAGGATTACAAAGCTTCAACCTCCCCTCCACAGGAGCCACCAACCTCCACATTTCAAAGCAGCCCAGGCTGCCCAGGGCCCCATCCAACCTGGCCTTGAACACCTGCAGGGATGGACGGGGCATCCACAGCCTCTCTGGGCAGCTGTTCCAGCACCTCACCACTCTCTGTGTGCAAACAACTTCCCCCTCACATCCAACTGAAATCTGCCCTCCCTCAACGTCAAACCATTTCCCTTGTCCTGCTGTTATCTCCCCTTTCCAAGAGCTGACTCCCCTCCTGTTACAGGCTCCCTGGGGCTGGAGGCAGTAAGCACATGGAATCACATGGCCAGGCCTCTGCAGGAGCAGCTCAGGGCTGTGCTGGGGCACCTGGCATCTGCAGAGGAAAGCCGGGTTCGATTGCGTTCACCTGCCTGACAAAGTCACAAGGATGAGCAGCTGAACTACTCCTCACGTGCTGCTCCTGCTTGCCCTCCACTCACAGGAAGGAGGCCATTCAGACGCCAACTGAGCTCTGTGACACCCTGCCCTCCTTCCTCTGCTTCCCCTCGCTCCCAACACGCAGCGCTGCTGCACTGACCCCACACCCCTCACACAGCCGTGTGCAGCTGGGCCCTACAGCCAGGCACCGCAGCTCCAGGCGGCTCCAGAGCACTGCGTGGGGAACTGAGGCTGCTCACAGCTGTGCGTGGACCATCGGTACGTGGAGCTCAGGGCCGTGATTTAGCGGAGGGCTGTTAGAGTCAGGGTAGGATGGCTGGGTTGTGGTTGGACTCGGTGATCTTTAAGGTCAACCTGAGCAGTTCTACGGTTCTATGATTCCATCACCCGTCCAACACCACAGCACACGTGTGCAGGGGCAGCAGCGTGGATACAGACAGCAAACCGAGCGGCAGATCTGTGCGCGGGATGCAGGAGGCGGCGAGCACAGAGCTGGACCTGGGGCGTTTGCTCCTTAGCTAAAAATCAGCATCCGTCCCAACGCCGTGAGCCGAGGGTTGCAGCATTCAGCGCCGCGATGAATCGCCGGAAGCCGCGCCGGGGCAGCCAGAGCGCAGCATTGGCGGGGCTGCTCCGAAAGTAATGCCTCCTATCTTCTGACGTCGGCCCACGGCGCCAGAGGCGGATGTTGGTGGGACGGGACGGGCCGAACCTCCGCACCGCCGTTCCGCTCCGCGCTGCCGCCGTGGGACCGCCGCGTCCCCGCCGTGACCCGCTGACTTTGCGGCGGCCCCGCCCTCTCCGCTCCCAGTGGACAGCGGCGCTGTCAATCAAAACTGGGTGCCGGGGGGGGAGCGCCCCCTGCCGGCAACGGGACCCGCGCAGGTGCCACGAAACGCCTCGGGGTGACGGGGGGTGCGGGGGGTCCGTGCAGCCTGCGGGGGGCTGCGAGTCCAGTCACACAGTGCGAGGTTCTGAGCTCAGCCGTGCAGTGCGAGGTTCTGAGCGCAGGGTCCCGACCCCAGGAGCTGCACGGATCCATGCAGTCAGGGGGGCTGGAGAAACCCACTGAGACGCCCAGCCCACCCCCTGCGCCCTCTGACTGCATCCCCCCGGGCTCTGGGACACCTCTGGGGCCGGCGACCCCATCGCTGTCCTGAAAGGGGTGAGAAGAAAACCCATCTGGAACATCACGGCTGTACGCGGGATGTTACCGATGTTACGGGGCCGTGCCTTTAGGGCTGCCTGCGGGCACGCTGCCAGCTGGGCTGGGTTGGAGCTCCCAGTGAGGTTCACACACGGGATGAAGAACTGCTGATTCCACCCAGATGTTTAACGCTGTAATAGTTTCACTGCAGCGCAGCGCTAACGTGAGATCCGTACAAACCATGTGGTTACAAACAGCACTCGTTGTAATGCGCGCAGATACGGCACGTCTGGGGACGGGAGCCGTGTGTGCGGCACGCAGCACTGCAGGACCATCCCTGAGCAGAGCCTCATGGCCTCAGCTCTATGGCCGCACACCTGGCAGCTGGGAAATCCCACGGATCCCAGAAGATGCACTGAATCAAGAACAGCCCCGTTTTGGTGGGGTCTGCTTGTTTGCTCGTTCTCCTTGCAAGCACAACTCGCTGCTCGACACTGCAGTGCTGCTGTAGGGGCTCCATCTGGCAGCACACCGAGCAGCCGCGGTGCATTTCCCAAAGCTGAGGACAAGGGTCTGTGGCTGCAGGGCAGCAGGAGCGCAGTGCCGTAGCACAGGGGATGCTGCTGGCTGCCATCGTGCCTGGCAGCAGGGAGCTGCACACCACCCCCAGCACCCAGCACAAAGCTGGTCTGTTTGCCTGCACCCAGTGGGTGCCGCAGCCACACACGTGCACAGGAATGCCCTCAAACAGAAGCCCTGGGGCCCACGTGGCCCCTGTTACGAAGCTGTAAGCCTGTAGGCTGAGCACACGGCAGGAAAACCCTCGCAGTGCAGAGCTGAGTGACCGCCACAAGGTGGAACACGGGACACTGACACAGCAAACACCCGCTGCTTCCAGTGCTTGGGAGGCACAGCACCAACTGATGCAAGGCGCCGTCAACAGCTGCTTTCCATCTGTCACAATTAACGGAACCTTTTCCTGGACGTTTCCTCCGCTGCTCCCCACCACGCCGGCACACACAGAACACAAAAACCATCGTTTGCCATATTTATTTATTTATTTTTAAACTAAGCTCTGAATTATACAAGTGTAAAAGTGGTTAATTAGCCCATAGCTTTTTCACACTCCTATAAAACATGACTAAATAGAATATCTCCAAAGTATGTACAGTATGATGGCAAAGCTGTCGTGCTCCGTCCCGGCGCTGTGCTCGGCCCTGCAGCTCACAGCGCTGTGCACAGAACAAGCAGTCATTTGGCAGAAGGTCCTTTCCTGCTGCTGGGGGACACCAGGACAAAACCACCTTCCATCTGCGCCACGTGTGAGCTGGTAAGTGTTAGGTCTGCAGTGCCATAAAGCACTTTGCAGTGACTGTGCCTGTACTCTCGTTACAGGAAGGGATGCTCTTGCTGTGTTTTCCTGCTGAAAATAATCACAGAATGACAGAATGGCCTGGGTTGCAAAGGCCCACAGTGCTCACCCAGTTCCAACCCCCTGCTGTGTGCAGGTCGCCAACCAGCAGCCCAGGCTGCCTGGATGCTGGATGTGTGTGCAAGTGTGTGCGCCTACACTGATAAGAAGGGGGCTGCTTTAGCGTAAGTACAAAAATCAAGGCCACAGAAATTCTCCATTCTTTTGACTTGAAGAAAAGCAGACCACAAGATGCTGTTTCCCCCCGTGCTGTAACAGTGCTGGCAGCAGCGTGCAGCTCGCAGTGCTCCCAGGCAGCAGAGGGCCCCAGCACATCGCACACAGACTCAGGCTGTGCCACAGAGCAGCAGCAGCTCCTCCACATTCCCTTCTTGTTTGCAACGCTGCCCTGATGGCACCCCCTAACGCCCGCACAACTGATCCCTGATGACCAGGTGGAAGTGGGACAGATGGGACAGGTGCTGAGCACACTTACAACAGGCTCGGAACTGCATTTCTCCTTCCAGGCTTTAATGAACAGAATTGTGTTCCACCCCGTCCTGGGTGAGCACTCCAGAGTTAACGAAGAGCTGCCATTGCATTGGAGCTGCTCTTACACCTGCCTGCACATGCACTTACAGGAAAGAATGCTTGAGACCCAAAGCAGGACAGATTTATGTCTCTGGAGGCCAAATTCCATCGTTCACAACCAAATCTCTCCTAGCTTTGGGTACATGGATGTCATGGCTAAATTCAGCCTCCGACATTTTTAGGTGTAAAGACCTGAAGTATCAGCTCTGGGGCAGATCCCTGATCACTGACTGATTGCTGAGGACGTAGGCATGCCTTAGTTTCAGCAGGGATGGAATTGCTTTCTTCAGAGTGCCAGATATGATGCTGCGTTTTGGTTCTAGGAGATGCTGGCAACACCCCGATGGTCACAGCTGCTGCTAACGGTGCTGCACAGAGCTGAGGCTGTCCACAGCAAAGGGCCCAAAGAGCAGGGAGGGAACAGAGTGAGGACAGCTGACTTACAGTGGCCAAAGGGTATTCCATCCCATATGACACCACGTTAGGGAAGGAGTTTGGAAGAGGGTGGGAGCTCATCTGGCTCTCCTGCACTGCTGGGGTCGAGCTGGGCATCGTGGAGGTGGTGAGCAACTCCTGGTGCACCAGCTGTTACTACAGTCATACACACATACATGCAGTCCTAACTGTTTGCCTTTGCTCTACCTTAGTAAATAGCTTTATCACAGCCCACGAGTTGTGCTTGGTTTGCTTTCCCCATTTTCTCCCCAGCCCACAGGGAAGGGAACAAGCGAATGAGCGCGCGGTGCTGAGCCACAGCTGGGGCAAACCATGAGAGGCCATGAACCCCTTCCATACAGCATGCATTGCCAACAAACCTCCAGCAAACCTCCCTGTTTATGCTGGTATTGAACCAGAGGAGGTCCGAAATCTGTATGTTCTCATAACAGTGTTGTTCCTCCTGAAATGTCACAGGTGGCCTCTGGTGGTACGTTCAATAGGAACAGCAGATTGGAGTCCCAGGGCAGCAAGTAACAATTATTTATTTCAATCAACTCTAAATGAATAATTGGAGTGACGCCTCTGAGGAGTTACTTGAAGACAACTTTACTCTGACATGAAGATACTAACGTCCATCTTCGCTCAGGCTCTGCTGCGTTCAGCGTGCTTCTCTGAGTGCCACTCACACGACGATGCCCACAGAGTACTGACAGTTACCACGTTAGAGATACAGACTACGATAAGCACTAATTTCAACAGGAACACCGAGGAGCTGTGGTGGTCAGAGGACAAAGTGGATGAGGATGGTGAATTCTTCCTTCTGAAGACGCCCTCTCCATCCACGTGAGGCTGGCACCTCCTGCTGTGGCCGACAGCACGACCTGCCCTTCTGCCTGGAGGCACTGCAGAGCCCACAGCACAGGGCTGAGCCGGCCTCAGTGCAGCCTGTAGGCTCTCTGCTAACTCAGGGTGGAATGGAGCCCTCCCTTGGAAAGCTGAACGTTTGGTGTTACGAGAAGAAGCCTGATTGCACAGCCTAAGCTGACTTTTTAGATCCTGGAATGAGCTTCCAAGATTCATTCGCTTACTTTAAAGGATTTTAAACCATGGGATCTCACTGCGCCGTTTGTAGTCATTTGGGGGAGTACAGCTGCAGCTCATTAGCTCAAAAATCCCACTGTATCTTACACATATGCTCGATTTTCTGCAGTATTAATTCCAGTGGAACTACTCATGTGCATAAATTAAGCGCATGCTTAAGTATATGCAAAATCTGAGCTCAAATGGCTAGAAAATATCTTCTCAACATGACAAATACACATGAAAAAAGCCATCATGGAAGGTGTAGCAGACAGGGAGCCCAGCATCTGCCTGCTGTCAGCCACGGTGACACACAGAACAGTTTCTGTAACTCAGGATACATTGCAAGTGAAAGAAACATGCGGGACAGAGTGAAAAAAGGGGACTCGGTTGCATGCAGTCTAATTTCAAGTGTGTCATTATGGTCCTGTTTTCTTTGGCCTAAAAAAAATAAAGTAAGAAAAAAACCAACAAAAGAACACCAACATCTCCTCACCTCCACAAACCAAACTGCATACAGCTCAAGGAGGGCTTTAAAGCACAGGAAAAGGAGGGTGAAAAGAACTGGATCTTAGGGATGTAATCAGTGAGACTCAGGCCCAACACACGGCCAGGAAAGCATTCAGCCTCCACCACTGCTGGAACTTACAGCAGTGACACAGAGCAACGAGCAGACAGGCTCTCCCTCCTCAAACTCAGAGAGAAGTACCACTCCTACCTTTATGGAAGATAGAATGACAGTCCTTCCTGCTCCTCGCACACATGGCTGATAGGCACGGAAAGCTTCAGCAGCTGCCTCTCCCCTCAGCCCACCCATCTCCACGAGGGCACAGCTCAGTGCTGCTGAAGAGGGCATTTTCCTGTTGTCTCCTAAAAAGCTTGCAGGAATGGCATTCCTTACAGAAAATTCCAGAGGGGTGACAAGGCCACCAAGCTGCGAGGAGATTAGAAACAACGCACGGCCTTCCCTTTAAAGACAAGGAGGAAAGGGAAAGACTGAGGTCTGCAGGGAACCGAGGGCAGAGAAAGAGGCTCCTTGATGAAGGGCACAGCAAGCGTTCTGGGCGTTTGCATCTCAAGCCTATCAGCCCAGTCACCCACTGTGAAGGATCTCTCTGGTGGTGTTTCAGCATGCAAATTACAGCTGTGCAAAACCTCAGCCTGAAACCCTCCCTGCTTCAGCCTTGCTTTGTCCTTCCCAGCAAATCTATTAGTTGGTGTGTGATATGGTTACATATTACAAAGATCTTTTTTTTTTTTTTCCTAGCCCTTTTGTTACATAGGCTTGATTACTGCACAGGGATTTCAATGAGCTTATTGTCCTGGTACTCAAACGGCAATGTCTGCCTTCGAAAATAAAAAGAAGAAAAGAAAAAGAAAGCAAACAAAAAACTCAAGAGCTGTGCTGGAGGAGAGAAGGGCTGCTGCTGCCGGGAGGCTCAGTTAGATACAGGAGGTGGAAGGCCAGGGCGCCGAGTTTGAATGATTTTTGGCTTTGGAGAATTCTTTGGGTCCTCATCTTCTTCCATGTCACTGTCGCAGACGTGCACTACCACACTGGGGGTGGATTCTGTTCCTGCATGTAGCTCGTATTTCTCTCCTGGAAGCAGAGAAAAATAGTTAGATGGGAGGAAAATGGTCTGAGTAGCAGTGCTGGCACTTCTGGACTTCCACATTATGGTAGGGCAGTGTGCACGTGCTGCTCCTACCTACAGTGAGAGATCTGGGTGGGCAGATTGCACCACCATCACTGCAGGTTGTGGGGATCTGCCCCATGCATGGGCACTGCCTGAAGGGCATCATAAAGGCTGGCAACAGTAAGACCAGTGCAGCAGAAAGGAGCCTAGGGGAAAGCAGTCAAGGGTGGATAGAGATAGGACAAGGGGAATGGCTTTAAAGTGAGACAGGGGAGGTTTAGGTTGGATATGAGGAGGAAGTTTTTCAGCCAGAGGGTGGTGAGGCACTGGAACAGGTTGCCCAAGGAGGCTGTGGATGCCCCATCCCTGCAGGCATTCAAGGCCAGGCTGGATGTGGCTCTGGGCAGCCTGGGCTGCTGGTTGGCGACCTGCACACAGCAGGGGGTTGGAACTGGAGGAGCACTGTGGGCCTTTGCAATCCAGGCCATTCTACAGTTCTGTGATTCTATAATGGTGTTTTGAACCAGCACAAGTGACCAACAGAAATGCATGGAGAAGGAACATAGAATTTCGTGGTCGAAAAGAGGGTCTAGAACTGAACCTCAACCACTGGGCTGAAGGTGTAAGTAAACCTGTGGGTGGGGTTTTTTTTCTTTCAAAGCCCCATTTGGAGATCCATTGGGCTCTGCAGCATGCCAGCTGCAGACAGAAACATCATACATATCTGAACAGGGATCTCCATACACTAAAAATAAAGCACCACATATCAGGTCCAGATGGACTTAGAAATTCAATGCTCTTTATGTGGGGCTCTAACAAATTCTGTCTCCAGAGGTAAGGTTACACTCTATAAATGCTTACCAGCAGGCTAAATGCTTAAGCAGTACATTAGATTTTCAAACTACCTACATTACTACTCCAAGTCTCTAGCTGGTGAAGAAGATGCAAATGTCTTCGGAAGAAATGGATTCAGTGAGGTTAACTACACAAGTACACAAGCAAACAAAGGAAAGTTAGGATCAGACGTAGGGCTTTCAGCCCTGCATTTGTTCAGCTGCCACTACAAGTGTTGGACTGTACACAACGTGTAAGGAACTGGTTATTACCTTACAAGGAATTAATTTAAGACTATAAAGAAAAAAGAAGTCCCAAGAGTGAGACTTCTGACAGAATGAATTGGTCTTTTAAAAGGGTCAGATACCTATTAGCAACACTAAAAACTAGCAGCCATTCCACATGTTGCACTGTCATACCTTTTACATTGGACTGTATGTCATCTCTCTCATCTCCGAGACCCACAAGCTGCCTTTACATTCAGACAGGATTAACAATGAGCACACATATACCTCACAGCTGGATCATCTTCCTAATGCTGCTCTAAAGCAGTGGGACATCATCTCTGGAGGTTTTCAAGACAAGGGGAGATGTGGCACAGAGGGACATGGTGCGGATGGGCTGGGGTTGGACTGGATGATGATCAAGGTGATCCTGAGCAGATATAGAGACTGGGAGGAGCAGTCCTTGAGAGCAGCCCTGCAGAGAAGGACCTGGGGGTCCTGATGTATGAAAAACTCAGCATGAGCCAGCACTGTGCTCTTATAGCTCGGAAAGCAAATGGGATCCTGGGCTCCATCAGAAGAGGGGTGGCCAGCAGGGACAGGGAGGGGATTGTCCCTCTCTGCTCTGCTCTTGTGAGGCCCCATCTGTGTCCAGGTCTGAGGCCCCACGGCATCCAGGTCTGGGGGCCCAAATACAAGAAAGACAGAGAGCTGTTGGAGAGGGTCCAGAGGAGGGCCACAAAGATGATCAGAGGGCTTGCAGCCTTCAATACCTAAAGGGAGCCTACAAACAGGAGGGGAGTCAACTCTTGGAAAGGGGAGATAACTGCAGGACAAGGGGAAATGGTTTGAAGTTGAGGGAGGGAAGATTTCAGTTGGATGTGAGGGGGAAGTTGTTTGCTGTGAGAGTGGTGAGGTGCTGGAACAGCTGCCCAGAGAGGCTGTGGATGCCCCGTCCATCTCTGGAGGATAATAAATGTGGTGGGGGGGTTGGAGCTTCATGATCCTTGAGGTTCCCTCCAACCCAAGTCATTCTGTGATTCTGTGATTCTATGATCTTAGTGGTCTTCTCCCACCTTCATCATTCTGTGATTCCAAAGCCACTGCACACTGCGTGCCAAATACTCTAAGAGGAAGGTGAGGTCCCAGTATCACTAGCTGACCTGCACTTAGGTGCAGTAGCTCCTAAATACCTGCATACCTAAATGCAGCACAGCTGGCAGTGCTCGGTGTTGTACATTAGAAGAGAGATAGCAGTCCCTACCTCAAAGCACCCATAACTTGCTCGTGTTCTTAATTTGGACTTGTATTTATTCCCAGCTTAGTGGCAGAGCAGTTCATGTTAGGAAGATGTTGTGGGTTTGGTCCTGCACTGGCACACACGGTTCTGGGTCTGTCATCACATGCTATTTGTGCTGGAAAGTTCTGAGTCCAAATAAGAGTTGTCTGGCTTGGGACTAGAGCACATGCTGCATTTTTGCCTAAAAAACAGAAGGCAACTACTGAATAATGGCTACAAGTCTGACATCTTGCTGTGAGAAATATTTCACTGCTGTGATACCATTAATGTTGACATTTAACTGCTCTATTTTTGGCAGCCTTTCCTCTGAATCCAAATTGAGCAAAGCATTACAGGTCTTGCTGATAGGCTAAAATATAAAAAGAGAAATAGCTCGGTTGTGCTGCGCTGAGAAATTATATGGTTTTTCTTTGCCTATTTTCCCTGCGGGCTTCAGCTAATTTCTCAGCTCTGGGCTGACGTCAATGCTGCCAACCTGCACTGAAGGCCACATTGGTCACTGTCAGCTCCCAGCAGCTCTGCAGGGCTGTGCACACACAGCACTGGGCCTCTCCTACACCAACACCACCAAAGAAATCAGATTCACTGCCCCCTTCAAAGGTAATCATCCCAGTTCAAATGCCACATTCTTTTACTGCTCAAACCCTTCCCTGAAGGGCTCTTTGCACTGAAAAAGAACAGTGGAAATAAGCACAGACACAAGGAAAAATATTCAGATGCCTCTGGCACAAGTCACTGCAACAGCAATTAATGTCACTTTGCAAATCAAAATGTGATGCACTCATAAATTGGGTTTTAAGGCATACAGTTATTTCTGAGCATAAATGAGGTGCACACTCAGTTCTGTACTCACAGTTATTCATGCCTGCAGAACTGTGGCTCAAAATGCAGAAAACCTTTTTATGGTTGAGCTGGGAACAGGACAGGAGCAAAAGGGACTTCTATGGAGCTGTCCCTCGTTGTAAATCTAAGTGCTGGTTGCAGAAAAACACTCAGGTAATGGATACAAAACACAAATTCAATAGATACGGCCAGGTTATCCCTTCCCTCCCGTTGGTTGTGATTATTTCTTTAACACCACCTCCAGCATTAAAAACTTACCTAAATCCACAGCAGTTAAGTTGGCAGAGGAATGTGTGAATTACTGCAATCAACTCAGCCTTATGAGATATGGGCTGTCCCAGCTAAGGGCAGCAAGATGGGTCAAGCAAGAGTGACCTTGCTCTGATGATGCATCTCTCATCTAATGAGGCTCTTTTGTCCAGCAAAGAGAATGTTCATATACTTAATAATGAAGAAAGGTAATGATGTTGTGCAGCTAACTCATCCCTGATTCTGCCACGCAGTCAGAGGTTAATGGGTTCAGAGCTGTGCTCTCCACGTTCAATGGCATTAGCATCAATAAAACACCCTCCATGTGTAGTCCTCCCTTCCATGTGCTGTACAAATAGTGCGGGGTGGGCAGCAGAGAAGCGATACACCATGCCACGTGAGCCCTCCCCAGGGAGGAGGAGCTGCTCTCTGGGAGTGTCACTGATGGCACAGAACAGCCTGTCCCTCTGCTGGCAGAGAGAGTGCTTTCTGCATGGTCAGTGCAGCAGCTCTCATGTACACAGCCCCTGGCAAGGGGAGCGAAGGGCAGCAGGAGCCACAGAATGGATCACAGAGGATGGACAGAGCTGGAATTTTCCAGCTTTTCTGTATCACCCATCTGTCTGCCCCTCCACCTCCCTTGAATCCCAGCTGGAAGCTATAGGAAGTGTTCTGTCTGGAAATACCTGGGGTGGGTGGTGTGCAGGTCCACCTGAGGTAGTTCTGGACAAGGCTTCCTGCTCTTCTCTGCTGCCCCTCTGAAGCAAAGAGGGCAGAGCAGTGCCTGGCCTGCACTAGCTTTCAGATGGGGACTGAGACTTTGAAGATGAGTGCTTACAGAAGGCAGAATGATATGAGGGAGCACAGGGAGCAGTTCAGTACATCAGACTGCAGGTGGCAAGGGGAGGCTGGCGGGCACCTGCTCCATGCTGTGCTGCAAAAAGCCAGGCAGGGCAGTTGGTGGGAAGGGGACAGATCTGGGGATCTGAGATTTGAGGAGGAAGGCACAAAACAGAAGATCCACGTGGTTGTAGTTTGAGATACAAAGGCTGAGCTGTAGGGAGAAGCAGCACAGGCTGTGGAGAATTCGGGGTAACGGGTTTGATGGAAGCCAAACAATAGCAGTGGGGAAAGGAAGAAAGAAATGTGTGCATTGGGAGTGGGCAGGGATGGGGGTAGGACTGCTCCCCTGAGAGGAAAGGACTAACTGCAGTGCCAGGAAGGGGGCTTGTAAACCACTGCACTATTAAAGGGCAGAGCAAACCTAGAGGCCTTTTGTCCGTGAGGAGAAACTCTGGAATATACATTGCCCTGAAGACAGTTTTGCCTTCTTGCAAATATTTCTCCTATAAAATTATTTCCTGTATTCCTCAGTGGGATGTCACTGCTCCTCGTTAAAACCTGCCAGTACACGAAGGCCTAAATTAGCCAGCAGCTTGATGGGTTGCAAGTGCTCCTGAAGGAAAGAGCTGGGCCTGGAGGACCGTCAGCCAACCACACCCCCAGGTGTGCAACATTTTTGCATCTTCATCAGTGTTAACCTACTGGAAATTCTCTCAACAGAGGAATTGTTTTCACTAGAGATTAATGATCCCACTTCTTTATTTTTTATTTATATCATGATTCTTCTGTACTGAAGAAGTTGTAGGCTAGCAGTCACAACCAGGCACAGAGAAGGTTCCCACCTCACTGTCTGAGCTGCTGCATTCTGTTGGTATCTCTTTCAAAACTCTGCATCTGCAGAAAGTAAAAAAATACACGAAGCAACCAGGAACTAAATAAACGTGCTGAGATCTTCCCTAAGAATTAAGTGCACCCTCACTGAGCTCAGCGTAATGCAGGAAGAACAAAATCCAGCTTCCTAGGTGTGTAGGAAAAAGAAGTCCATCAGCCCAGTGAGATGCTAGGAAGGCACTGCTGCAGCCACAAGGCTGCAAAGAAACACCTGTCCCCAGATGGAGCTTGGACAATAACAACACACAGCCAATCTGCTAACTCATTTCTTAGCTATTCATTTCACTCTGGAGTGAATCTCCCACAGTGTGTACCTGAGGATGGTTCAAATCCACACTGCAGCTGCAGCCATTATGGCAGAGTGCTGGGAAAGGAGATGACATGTACATGTGGAAGGGGTAGGGCTGCATTGGCTGGGGTCCCAGTGCTGTGTCTTACTTTCCCAGCAAGGTAAACAAGCATGACTCACATGCACATAAAGGCACATAAAGAATCACAGAATCACAGAATGGCCTGGGTTGGAAGGGACCTCAAGGATCATGAAGCTCCAACCCCCCACCACAGGCAGGGCCACCAACCTCCACATTTCAGAGCAGCCCAGGCTGCCCAGGGCCCCATCCAACCTGGCCTTGAACACCTCCAGGGATGGACGGGGCATCCACAGCCTCTCTGGGCAGCTGTTCCAGCACCTCACCACTCTCACAGCAAACAACTTCCTCCTGATATCCAACCTCAATCTGCCCTCCCTCAGCTTCAAACCATTTCCCCTTGTCCTGCTTTTTCTACCCTTTCCAAGAGCTGACTCCCCTCCTGTTTGTAGGCTCCCTTCAGGTACTGAAGGCTGCAATGATTCACCCCGCAGCCTTCTTTTCTCCATGCTGAACAAGCCCAGCTCCCTCAGCCTGTCTTTGTAGTGGAGGTGCTGCAGCCCTCTGATCATCTTCGTGCCCTCCTCTGCACCCTCTCCAACAGCTCCCTGTCTTTTTTGTACTGGGGTCCCCAGACCTGGACACAGTACTTCAAATGGGGCCCCACGAGGGCAGAGCAGAGAGGGACAATCCCCTCCCTGTTCCTGCTGGCCACCCCTCTTCTGATGGAGCCCAGGATACCATTTAATTTCCAATCTGCAAGGGCACACTGCTGGAAGCTGTTCATTATTTACATGCTTAATTGAGTTTTTCTGTCCTCGGGTATTAGTTTTTACCAAATCATAAAATCACAGAATCCTAGAATGGCCTGGGTTGCAAAGGCCCACAATGCTCATCCAGTTTCAACCACCTGCTATGTGCAGGGTCGCCAACCAGCAGCCCAGGCTGCCCAGTAATCAGTGTATTTAAATCAATGTAGTTAACGTAATATTCCTCACAAGTCAGAGTCACAGAATTCTGGCTCTGGCTTATAGAAACAATGAATCCTTTTTGCTAGTTAAGGCATAGTTAGACTTTTCATTGTGCTGCTGGAATGAAAAGTAAGTGTAAGTGCTGAGAGGAGCACAGCACTGCCTGCCGTCCAGCTGCGAGCTCCAGCAATGTGATCCTGAGAAAAGCTTTGCTGGGATTTGTTTTTCGGTGAAATGCTCAACATAGTGAACACACAACTGAGACCTGCAAAGCTATTTTAGAGCCACCACTGCAGTTAACTAGAATTGATCTCTCTCCCAAGAGCTAAAAATAGGAAGAAGAGCACACAGTGACTTCTGCTGCTGCTCCCTGCAGGCTCCTTCAATAAGGCTGGATCTGACCTTCACACAGAGAGTGGAGCAATGAGGGATATTTCACATCCCACTGCTCTAGAACAGGGATTGATTTATTGTCCAGATAACGAGGGGATTCGTTTTCATGTTTCTATTTATAACACTGCTGCATCAAAGGAAAAAAAAGGAGTTATTGTTTTCCTTTTGTTCAGCAGTTTAGTGGCAGAGCATCAATTCTGGGAGTAATCATCTGCCACGTAGGACTAAGAGTTAGACCTGCCAGCCCTTGTCAGTGGTCTTCCAACCAAAAGGAAATAAAATGCAGGAATCTCCCCTTGGATACATGCTGTCCCCCTGGGAGAGATCCCATGGGAAAACAAAGCTGGGTGGTCCTGCGAGCCTGCTGACCCAGAAGCAGCTCCCTGCACCCCACAGCCCTGGTACACTGCCAGCCAGGCAGTAACACTGAGCTCAGGGATGAGGTGCCTGCAGCAGCTGGCTGCTCTCACAACAAGAAAGCAGCAGCAGTAGAGCTGCAAGGATAACTTTCATATCCCACAAGGAATTCAAAACTGAACTCAACCAAATCTTCATGAGCTCTTCTCCCCAGCCCATAAAAACTGTTGTTAGATTTGATCTAAAGTGCACTGGCACGGGCTGCCAAGGAGGGGGTGGGTCAACAATTCTGGAGATGCTCCAGAGCCATGGAGAAATGGCACTGAGGGACGTGGGTTGGTGGAAGCATTGGTGGGAGGAGGATGGTTGGGCTGGATGACCTTGGAGGTCTTTTCTGACCTTGGTGACTGTATGGTTCTATTCTACTTCCACATGAAGGTAATTCAGCATGCCATTTTTCCTTATAGGTTATGAAGGTAAATTAGACTAATTTCTAAATGATATTTCTTAGGGCTGGAACTTGAACATTTTCCATTTTAAGAATTGTAAAAGGGATGCTCTAACAGCACTCGAAGAAAGCTCTCCATAAAGACTTGGTAATTAAATTGAAAAGTAAATATCTCCTGTGAAAAGTTCAAGCTTCATCAGGTAAGCATTTTCTAAAGGCACAGCACCTTTCAAAGATCCCAACCAGCTTCACACCTTATCAGCTGGTGAAGACGGGAAGACAGAATAAATCTGTCTGCATTATCCATTCATACCTATTTCACTTTTTAGAGACTACACCTAAATCACATTCCTTCTGCATAACATTTTCAACAGAAAACGAGCAGTCCTGACAGAGCATTCCTGCAGGGACAGGGGAATGGTGGTCCTCTGTCATCAAACTTGTTAACATGAGACATTCTCCACTCTGTTGGACATGCAGTGATGCTTAAATCATTGAAGGAGTTTGCATGTTGGAAAGCACTACTGAGCAAGTGTGATTTAAAGCAAATTCTCTTCAGGTTAACAGACAAGCGTTTGTTCAACCCCTGCACAAACCATCAGTTGTCTCATCTAAACATAAAAGCAAGCACAAGAATAAACTGTGCAAGCAAGCTTCCATCTGCTATTCAAACAACACGTTAAGCAAAGAACCAGTTGGCCCAAATCAGCTTAACTCCAAAGCTGTAACACAACTTACAGGTTTTATCCCAACTGCCTCTAGTTATTCTCTATGCTGCTATTTCTCATTTGCTTTTTCCAACAGATTTTCACAGAAGGACCACAGGCTTACCTGGTCCTAGCTTAGAAACTGCATAAAGGAGGTCGTAGTTGATGACAGGTGTTGCATCGTCTATGGGCTGCCACCCTACAGGTGGGGAGGCTGGAGGCGAGATGAGAAACTGTTTTGCAGGCTGTGGCGGAGCCAAATGAAGCTTGTCTCCATCTGTCTCAGAGGTCTGAATCTTAAAGCATAACAAATACACTGTTTAGTTTAGGATGGGGACATGGAACGATTACTCAAACCATACACTTCCAATCCCAAGTGCCACCCAGGCGGGGTTTCAGCATCCGTCTCAGCAGACGAGGCCTGCAGATGGATCTGCTCTCACCCTTACAGATGGTTCCCCTGCAGTAGATAGGCTGTGGGGGGCTGTTATGTGAGCAGAGCTGCACTGTTTGTGCCTCCTGTATGTGTCCTCTGAGGATAAGTGCAAAGCTTTTTCTGTTTCCACAGCTGCTAAGTTCAGAGACTCGTGAAGCTCAACAGAGCTCTGCTGGTTTAAGGTCCTAACTAAAAGCAGATACAGATGAGAAACCACCAATTCCTGCACCAAGGCCTTGTCCGTAAGTTCAGAAAACTTTCCAAGATTTGGTATATGGAGATGGAGTGATAAAGGAATCTATCGTGTTCCTCAGTCATTTGCAAATCATTATACTCATTTTATTTCCATCCATCTTAAATTATCTAGTTTGATTCTTGCTTTTCTTTGGGGGGTGTTATTAAAGAAGCTTTGGCATAAATGAATTACACCACAGCTACAGCCATAGCTGAGCAACTTCATAATCAACTCAGAAGCAATACTCTGGATTCACATGAAAGCAAGTTCAAGATGAACACCCTGCTACATGTGAATGGATTTTGTGCTGCTCCACTCCACGCTCCCCAGTACTTCTAGTTCTGGAAGTGCTTATTTGTTCTGGCTCAGGTCCATACAAACACACGCTGCTCCAGACACTGTGCTGCTTCCACTTATTCATTCCCTGGACACAACTAATAAGCTCTGAGATCACATGCACTGGAGAACATAGAGAAGATGGCTTCTAAATGGCTTTGCAGGACACCAGTTTAGACATGGAGAGTAGTCACTATTATGCATGATTTTGTTTTTCTTGAGTTATCTTCCTGTTAACTTCTTGATCGTCCAGTTGGAGTGAAATAACTCCTGCCTGCCTACCAGCAGGTTTTGAAATCTTTCAGAAATAAATTCTGAGCCACATCTAGGAGATTAAGGCATGTAAAAGGGGATTGAGATAGATTTTCAACACCTGCATCCAACTGTAAGATCCTCTGAACTCACCCAACCCACTGTGAACACTGGGCTTTTTACAGCTGTAGTTTCCCACCTTCCTAAGAAGGTTCTGCTTCAGCCAAGGCTCAGATCAGCACTTATCCTGCCTCAGTTTAGAGATTCAGAATTTATCTGCCTCTTAGTTTTAATTAAGATCTTCAAAACAGATCCTAGAAGCTCTGAAGGACTAACCTGACAGCTCGAAGCACACGTGATTACTTCTAGGCACTAGTCAGTATCCCACAAACCACAGAGGCCATATGTTAACATATGTTTAGAAGAGATTCTCAGCTCAGGATGCTCAACCTCCGTCACCCTTCTGTGTCCCAGCTGGGAGATCTGGGCTCCTCTCCCGTGGCCAAGAAGAATGGAACCTTCCCCTCCCACTTCCATTAGATGGATCCAATCATGTCCCCAGGCTGGGACACTGCTCTCTCCCTCCTTTCTCCCTTTCACTTCAAATTAAGGAGGTTTTTATTTTGTTGTTGGATTGGGGTGGGGTTTTTTTGTTGTTGGGTTGTTTTGTTTGTTTGTTTTTAATAAAAATTCACATTCAGTAAGATTTTCTCCTTACTTCTGCCTAACTGTGGCTCAAGGTTCTGCTCTTTGGACCTTCTTCTTTCATGAACCATTATGGTTAGAGTGTTACCCACAGCATGCATCAAATATTGTACATCAGTTCTGAGCTGTGGCATTGTGCATTGAATGAGCAACCTGTGCTCCAAGTGATCTTTTCAGTTAACTGCAGACCAACTGGGCTGGCACAGCTCAGGCAACATAACGATGTTTGAGTAATGCTTTAGCAGAAATACTGGGCAAGGGAGAAACATCTCTTGTTTTGATTCAGCTTTATTGGACAGTATCTCTATAAAGGCCACACACACAGAAGTAGATAGATTTCATTACCTGCGCAAAATACAACTTTAACTTCTTTCCTCTGAACTGTGTTTCATGCAGCTCTATTCTGGCACGAGCAGCTGATTTGGGACTACTAAAATTTATCCGCACGCGTCTGAAGCTCTTAAACAGCTGGAATGTCACACAGTCGTCGTAGGCACGGAACAGGCCTTCAAATTTTTCCTGCAAGTGAAAAAGAAATAATGCTGAAGATTAAGTTTGTGTTGGGTGGCATCAGTCTGTGCTAAATCACGAGCTGGAACTCGGTGACAGCTGTTTAGGCAGCAGTGCTCCTGGGGGGTGGCTGCCCACTGAGGAGTAAAGGCTGCGCAAGAAGAAGCTATAGAAAGCACTGGTCTGACAGTGACAAAATCTGGAAAATACTGGGGGAAGGAGGCTTCAAATGGAGAGCCCACCAGCAATTAAACCTCTTGTGAGTGTTGAGCAAAACTGTGATAGCACAGCAACTTCCCAAACAAAGCTGCAATGGACATCCAAGTGGAAGTGCCAGGCAATGTGATCTCACTGGGACTGAGTAACAGCAGGGTCAGCAGACAAAGTCAGGCCTGCTGTAACTGAGGGTCACTTCCAAATCTATGCTGCTGGCACTGCGAATCATAGAACCATAGAATGGCCAGGGTTGGAAGGGACCTCAAGGATCACGAAGCTCCAACCCCCCACCACATGCAGGGCCACCAACCTCACATTTCATAGCAGCCCAGGCTGCCCAGGGCCCCATCCAACCTGGCCTTGAACACCTCCAGGGATGGATGGGGCATCCACAGCCTCTCCAGGTGTATTATGTTTTTCTGGATGTTCTATCATTTAACTACTTAGAGCACAGATGCACCTATTCCTCAGAAGTCACTGCAGCAGCAGGAAAAATAATTAGATAAAACTGAAAATAGTGACCTGTTCTAGGGTCCAACTTCAGGCTTAAGAATGTTTAGCTACAGAACAGTGTGTTCAAAAGCACCTGACATAAATATGAAGATTTTAGCGTTGCGTAGGGAGGTCTGAGATGGACAGAACTAGAAATGAGCAGAAAACTCAATTTATGTCATCTGATCTATTGATACTGTTCTCATCTGTTAATCTTCCAAGCAGGACCAAGAGCCCAAAATGCGTTAGGAAAACGTATCTGGAGCTGTGAAGCTGTACCTGGGACACTAACAGAGCGGTGGGAGCCCCATGTCAGCACAGTATGCTGTCTGACGAGTTAACCAGGAGAGCAGATCACAGCAAGGAGCATGAAACTGATGTGCATGTACCAGATCTCCTCTCATTCACTGCCAACTCTGTGGTCTTCTTCCCCAGAGCTGATATTCCATCTCTGGCATCCCTTCAAAAGAAGCTCCCCGTGGTCTATTAAGCTTTCATGATTTTCATTTCATTTTGCCTGACCTCACTCACCTCTTCCTCTCACCACAGAGGATAGCTGGGAGGAAACAAAGCGCTCGGTGGTTTGGCTGAGGGTGAATGAAGGCACACAGTAATGCCACAAACAACAGGAAGCTGATAGGTTTGCACAAGCAGGTCTAGTCCTATCACCTACCATTCAAACCGCCACCATTTCACACCTTGGTTTGACATGGGTTGTTTTGCTGCTTTTTTCTTTCAGTTTTGCACAATTCGATTTTCCTGAGCTGAAGTCTACCTCGAGTGGCATTTGTCTCAAGATCAGCCCAGAGCAGCAGCCCTCAGCCCTGCCATGCTGGGAGCTTTGGTCACAAAGGTGAAGGACCCAGGGAACAGGAGACCAGTGTGTGCAGAAGCCTGCAAGCTCTGCATCATCTACATAATTAGTAGCAGTGAGAAGCTAATTAAAGCTTACATCTGAAAGCTGCCTATTCTGTCTGTTTCACCCTTCTTAAGTAGTGTTGGTTCGTCCATTTTACAGCACCTTAAAGGAAACAAACACATGCAAACACACACAGGAGACAACCAGTGCACTACAACAGCAGTCACACTAGCTAAAAGTAAGCAGCAAGGAGAACATTTCCTTGCCCCCTGCAGCAGCTCTGCTTAACCACAGGTCAACAATGAGAAAAACACGAACTAGGGAAATATTTCTCCATTGCAACTGAACAAAGTAGGAAAACTATTTTCCCTTTACCAGCACAGCAGTGCTTCCTTGCACTGGGCCCTGAGCAGCCAGCCTATGACAGGGTGAGATTGGGGAGCTTTAAGGTCCCCTCCAACCCAAGCCATCCTATGATTCTGTGGTCTCAAATGTGGGCCAAGGGCAGTGAGCAGAGCCAATGTTCTGGGCACAGCATTCTGAACAACACTGAGATCCATCAGGCACCACAAGAGACAGATGGGAGCACCTCCAAATCAAGCTGATTAAGGACCAGACACCAAGTAACACTGGGAGAACATTAAAGCACTGTGGACTTTATTCTGCTTGCTTTTCAGTTCAATACTGGTACAGCTTTAGAGATCTCATTTTGATTAACAGGCCCAAAAACACCAGGGAGGGAGGAGAGACTCAAGCCCTCTATTTGCTATTAACACAGAGCAGCCTACCCACAGTGCAGGCACATCTCCTGCACCCACTGAAACTGCACAGCACATTAAAAAGATCCACACGTCTGAGGTTTTTGCACATTTTCAGCTGATAATAATAATGACCTCAGCAGAGGTCATTAATCATCAGCGGCAGCTAATGGGCCTCAGCTGCATCTTGAGCCATCCCAGCTCCTCCCAGCTTGATATTAATTCCCAGGAAATGTCTTATGCCTTAATTGCTATGGCCTGTGACTTCTTATATCTGCTCAGGGTGCTTATTTGGATAAAAGTCTTTCAGAGCCATCCTGATCTATAAGAAAATGTACCACATATGCTTTAAAGACTTAAGCAAATTCTCTCCCTTTCAAGTTTGGTGGATAAATAATTCAAGGCCAACAATCATCTCAATCCAAGACTTTTAAAGTGCTCTTAGGATCCAGGATTGTTAAAAGGCTTTTAAGAAGTCTCTGAACTTCCAGTACACTTTCTAAACTTCTTGAAAAAAATAATACAAGAACATCCAAGTGGAAGTAGTGCTATTGCTGTACTGGAGTAGGAAGTGAGTGAAACAGCTTTACACAAAGCCATTACACCTCATTAAAATTACAGCTTTTGTTGCCTGAGTCCCAGAAGGGTTAAGCCAAATGGGAATAGGTTCAGATAAAGGCTACTAAGTTAAAAGAGCAACTCACTGAATAAGAAATTAAAAGGCTTGGCTTATTTAGCAAAGCAAATCCTGAGAGGAGACCTGACCGTCATCAGCAATTTACCAGAATGGCGCAGAGGGCAAAGAACAAGTACTGAAATGAAAGGCTGTGTTGGCATAAAGCAGGCAGAAAGGTTGCAAACATCAGGATAATGGCTCAGAAATGGCCTTCCAATTACAGCAGCAGCAGCAAAAGATATTTCTAGGACTGAATCTGGTTAGATTGTGTAAGGGACTGTGACAAAGTACTGGAAAACATGGCTGCCTGAATTAGAATTAGAATTAGAATGGGGCTCTGCCACAGCAAGTTCCTTCCAGCTCTACAGCCCTGTGATTTATTTCCAAACATTCCTTTCATGAATAGCTCCGCTGCTATTGTGCTCATTCAGAACAGAAGCCAAGGCCTAATTCAAATCAATGGAAGTCTTTCCACAGACATCAGTGCACCTTGGATTGGAGCCCTAGAACTCAGCACACAAATGGCATGTTATTGTTCAGCGTGTTTGCACTCATTATCACCGCTGTTACACATTGGATTTAGGAGGTGGCTGTGATTGAAAACTTCAGTCTGATCCTTGTTCCTAGAGTTCTGTAGGCAAACAAGGCAAACATTTTTCAATTACTTCCATTCTTCATGTTCATTACATAAAAAAGAATCGCAGAACCATAGAATGGCCTGGGTTGCAAAGGCCCACAGTGCTCCTCCAGTTCCAACCCCCTGCTGTGTGCAGGTCACCAACCAGCAGCCCAGGCTGCCCAGAGCCACATCCAGCCTGGCCTTGAATGCCTGCAGGGATGGGGCATCCACAGCCTCCTTTGGGCAACCTGTTCCAGTGCCTCACCACCCTCTGGCTGAAAAACTTCCTCCTCATATCCAACCTAAACCTCCCCTGTCTCACTTTAAAGCCATTCCCCCTTGTCCCATCACCATCCACCCTCACAAACAGCCGTTCCCCCTCCTGTTTATCTGCTCCCTTCAAGTACTGAAGGCCACAATGAGGTCTCCCCACAACCTTCTCTTCTCCAAGCTCAACAAGCCCAGTTCCCTCAGCCTTTCCTCATAGCAGAGCTGCTCCAGCCCTCTGACATCTCAGTGCCCTCCTCTGGCCCCGCTCCAAGAGCTCCACGTCCTTCCTGTGCTGGAGCCCCAGGCCTGGACACAGCACTGCAGATGGGGCCTCACAAGAGCCGAGCAGAGGGGGACAATCACCTCCCTGTCCCTGCTGGCCACTTGGCCAATCCAAGTAACTGATCTTGTATAACAACCAAGACATAACTTACAAGAACAAAATATGTTTCTCCTGAATTCTGTACTTGATATCAGTTTCCCCAGAAGAAACCAATCTCTCAGAACTCAATGCCTTCTGTCTCCACATAGCCACAGCAGTGCTAACACTGCACATCTCTTGATGGCTCAAGATGGAAGATGAAATTGGACAGGCTGTGCAAAGGCTGTGCTCTTTCAGTCTACAAACAAAGCCACCCTACGAACGAAGCAATTCCCAGTTCACAGCACCTAGGACGGGTGGGCTGGCTCAGCCCAGAGGGACAAGACAGTCACTGATGCAGAACACTTAAATAATACTATATGTCACTTTGATACAACATACATCCTATTTTCTAGGATCATATACCATAATATAAGACACCATTTCCAACAACTGGAAGTAATTTCACCATTGAGATATGCTGGTGCCACTTAAAGGGCACTGAAATGGGCTGATGTGGTTGTGGAGGCTCTTGTCCTGAGACCAAGGAAGATGGAGGCCAGCTGGGAGAGCGACTGCAGGATGGTGAGCCTGTGGCAGGAGGCAAAGATGGGTGATCTCTGCTTGGGATACAAAGAATAAGATGCAGCAGAAACATGTCATATTTGAGAAAATCAGAAATGGTGAAGGGATGGAAACAAACCGCATTAAAATAGCCAACAGTGCTGGTACGAAACAAAGACCACCAATTAAAAGAC